GAGAACTGACTAGATTGTGTTCTGACCCCCATAGTGCTTGAAATTCAAGTACATTGGCAAGAAATCTCAAGAATTTTATGGAGTTCTTCAAAACTCACACATACAGGTTGAATCAGTTGGGCTTTTGGTCTTGTTTCAGTCCTTAAAAATTGCACAGGCCTGAGTCACACTGTGGCCACATCTAAATAAAATTTAGATGCTGTGAGATATGGTTCTGAATTTGCCCTTTGAGCTTAGTGAGTTATGAATTTGTCTTGGTGACTCATCATTTTCCCTGCCCTCGGTCACCGCTACATTTCTCATGCTGGCAATATGGAAAATAATGTTTTGGTTTCCAGCTACCTTTTATGGAATTCATATAAATTTATACCAGAGACCTGGATCTGAGATGGGTGCTGAGAGTTTCCTGCGTCTGTATGCTCAGGTTAAACATGTCCAGTAGACTTCTTATCTCACGGGCCTCTTCAGCAGCAGTTGTCGGGCGCCTGCTGGGGGCCAGTGCTGTGTTCTCCTTGACCTGAAGCCTTGCTGTTGCTCATGTCTGGCCCGTTTCTCAGGGTAGCAGCTAAGCACATCTGAGTGACCGTGAGCACTCGCCTGGTCACTAGACATTTGCGGCAGCCAGTTGTCGGTCAGGATTGTTAGGTGTTAGGGCGTAGTCACACAGTAGGCTGAGGCCCCAGGACCTTGCACTGGAGCACAGGGGTGTCCCTCAGAAGCAAGCAAACAAACAACATGAATGCTGGGTAGACAGGTAACAATCTTTTAATCCACCTCCCTTGTTTTACAGATACGAGGTTGAGGCTCAGAGGAGAAGCATGTGGTCAAATTCAGTAACCAAGAATATTGAAGTTTCACGTTAGGATTTGGCAACCTCTTTAGCTTTAAGCACCACCAATAGGATTAAGGAATAAAATTGCCCTTTAAAACATTTTCCTGCTTTGATTCTCATATTTTAAACAGCCAACCAGGGGTGAAGAGAATGAATATCATAAACCCCATTTTGCAGATGAGTAACTTGAGGCACACAGAGATTCAGGGGCTTGCTCATGCTCAAGGGCTGGTTCATGATGGAGTTCGGTCCAAAGCCTGAGGCTCCTGTCTCCTGTCCAGCACGCTCTGGCTGGGCAGTGCCCTGGGCGTCCTTGGAAAGGAAAGGGGGAGAGGAGACTGTAAGTGGAGGGGAGGAAGACGCAGGGAGAACAGGCATGGTATTTTGGGGCTTGTACGTAGTGTTTTGGGTTCTGCAGTGAGGTTGCTTGTTCTCTGGCACTGCCTAGAACGTGTGGGCGGAAAGCTGGTCTGAATTTTTCTGCTTCTCCTGCTCCCTTTCTTCTTTCCCTCCTGCAAAGCCTCCTCTCCCGTTGAGATGCCTGTCTTCCCTCTGCCGCTGCTGTCGCCTTCTGACTGCAGGCTCCGGCTTGGTGTGCTGAGGGTCTGGCGGCTCTCGCGGCTTCCCCTTGGCCAGCGCCACCTCAGTGCAGGCGGCGTCGGGACACGCAGCCGGCAGGCTCTCCTCCCGACTGCGAGCTCTTGACCTCTTCATGGGAACCGTCTTTGTTTTCACTTCACTTCAGCCACCCTTCCCCAGTGGCCACTGGGGGGCCACTTGGACCCCCCTTAGGAGCTTGCACCCCTCTGGAATCTCAGACTCGGGTACTCCACTCTGTCCACAGCCTCTTGCCATCTGGGGTTCACTCCGTTGTCTCGCCTTGCCAACGTTTGGCCTCTCTGAGGTTTCAGCCCCTCTGCCTCTGACTTATTTTAGTCGATCTCCCCCATCATGCTTCCTTTCTCTTCTCTGTCCAGTCACGCCCCACACGTCTCAGCCCCCTTGTCTTTCTGTCTTTCTTGACCTGCACGCCCCCAACCATTCATTCTCTCTACCTCAACCCACGGGCTGCTGCATATATAAAAATATGACCCGCAGTTTGGTGCCCATATGATTCTTGTTTCCTGTGTCCTTGATGGATGGTCCAATACTGCACATCTCAGCAGTGCCACTTGCAGTCCCTTCACGGATTCCGTATTGGCATCATTTCCCATGCCCCCAAATGGCTCTTCTGAGTGCCCGTGACCCTCTTGAGCCTTCTAACCTGCTTCCAGCCCACCAGTCCACGTTCTCAATAGATGACTTTTGTGGCACCTTCTCTGTCTGTCACCCTTTAAATGTGGGTGTGCCCCAAGGTTCTATCTTAGTCTTCTTGTCTTCTAGCTTCACCACATTGAGGTGTAGACAACTCACAATGACACGTCTCCAGCATAGTTTCTGCTGCACTCCAGCCCTGATCTTCTCTCTCATGGACACTTGCAGTTAGATTTTCCCTATCATCTCACACTCACCTGTTTCCCAACCTGACCTCCCAGCCTGGTCCTCCTGCTGTATTCCCACTCTTGGTGAATGGACCCTCTGTCTGCTTGGCCATGCAAGTGGGAAACCAGGGTCATCGTAGACTCTTTCGTCTCTTTCAGCTGCACATTTAATTGGTCCCGTTAGTTCTGTCTCCTTAATATTTCCTGTGTCCACCTCTTCCTCCTCCAACCTTTACTTAGGCCCCTGTGCTCTCCCGTCTGGAGGATTTCTGTAGCCTCCTCTGTGGTCTCCCTCCTCCCTCTCACCTTGGTCCCGTCCTCCATAGATCTTTCTAAATCATAAAACAAATCATATTTCCTTCCTCAGCCTAAGGCTGAAAACTGTATCCAGCCCACAGATATGTTTTATTTGACTCACAGTGTAACCCTGCACCATGTTTAAAAACAGTTTTCTTTTGGCTTTACTTGCCTATATTAAAAATCAGAAAATATCTCGTAAAGTCTCCAGATTTCTGGCTTACATTTGAAAACCAGAAGTCCTGGCCCCCTGGCTCCTGCATTCTCCCAGGGCAGCACAGCTGGCTGGACAGAGAGACAGTGTGCCCCTTACATGGGGCGTGTCCTCTCCTGTTAGTCACAGACCGCACCTTCCCAGGTATGCTTCACTCACTTATGTCACCTACCTGGCTCCTGCATCATTGCGTTGGTGGCCTTGGTTTGTGGCATGAAGTTGGGCCTCCTCCAGCTGCAAGGGCCCCACTGCAGTCCTTGTACCTGTGCCCGGAGAGCTTAATTTCTTGGAGTACCTCACACTTGGCATTGTTTTCCATCTCTGTCTTGGTGCATGTCCCTCTTCCAGTTAAAACTCACCCGAGAGGCAATATTCTTTTCTGAGGATTTTGGCAAACCAAGTAGGATGACAGTTTCATCCTTAATCACTTGGATCAGAGTCTGTGAACCCCTAGAGTATTCTGTTCTAAATCATTTTGATGGCAATGCACAGTAAGAACTACATTTTACATTTTGACCCAACACACACATGTACAAACACACACACAGAGATACACACACACAACCATACACAGAGACACAAACAGACACAGACAGACACATACCACAATTGGAAAAAAAGTGCCAGGAAATAATACTTTCCACTACCTCTCTTCCTTTCCTTCTCTTCCTCCCTCTCTTCCTTTCCCTTCCAAGCTGGTCATGACCCACTGAATTGATTTCACAATCTGCTAATGGATTACAATCTATACTTTGAAAAACACTGCCCTCGGGGGGCTCCATAAATCCTTAAGATTATATGTTTAAATTTAGCGTATACTACAGCTGTGTTTTTCTAGGAGAGATGAACTTCCTCAGCACTCAGCTTTCCAAGGGGCCCGACGAAAACAGATTTCATAACCACCGATGTAGATACTTTATTTACAATGGGATTTGACATTGCCAGCTTCATGCACCCAAGTGTAGAAATCAGTGATAATTATTATGAATGTGGGCCCTTTGTGTCAGCTCTCTGACATGTCCTGCATTGTTTGTCGTTAAATGAAGTTAGTACTTGCAGGCTCTCAGGGAGGGTGAAATGGAGCCTTTAAATCTCTTGCACACGCAGGAAGGTGAGAAGCTGGGTGAGGGGCCATAAAAGGATTTACTTGGCGTTAGGAGATTTAATAAAACCTTGATTTAAAGTCTGATAAAATAACCCAGAAACTTCTTTTTTCTTTTGGTTTATATCAAGTCATTTATTCAACAACAGCCCTGGGAACTAAGAATGGAGAAAATAGTGGTGAAGAGAATGAATATGCTTGCCCTCATGGTCTTTCAATCCAGAAAGAAGAATGAGGAATGGAAATAGAGTGCCACCAAAGCATTGATGTGAATAGAGTAGATATCATAAAGGCATTGATGCTGAAATATTTCTAATAGAAACACTTAAATTAGGCTTGTGGAAGGGGTTGTGGAAGGGGTTGTATGGGGAGATAACAGAAAAGACATTACAAGATGACTCAAATGGTTTTGAGCACAAATTTGTTTAACAGTGGTTTTGAATAACAGAATTCAAATGAAACTGCCATCGTAAATTCACAAAAAAACTTCCAGATTAAATATCCTCTGCTAAAGTCGTTTCTGTTATCTCTTTATGCGTTTTGTTTTCAGAAGAAAGAAAGGGTGCATTAGGAACAGTCTCTCATCTGAGTTTGAGGGTCGTGAGCCCCGGTTTTCGAGGAGGCGGCCCTCTGTCAGTAGGGGTGTGGCGCCGCTACGGGGTGGCCCTGGTTTCTCCAGGGCTGTCTGCCGTCTCCTGTGCGCAGCGCTTCTTTGAGTGCTTCTGGCGGTCGGAGCAAAACTACCTCATTACTGCAGCAGTCACAGAATGAAAAGTGGCCACCGTGATGAGTCTCCCTTTTTTCTACTTTAGTAACACAATTACAATTTTATTATATATTTTTTTTGTATGTGAATATAAGAAAACCATGTTGCTTCCCCCAAAACTGGCATGCAGAGAAGAGGGAAAAACATAATCCAGAATCCCACGACCTCAACACGCCTGCTGCTCACGTTTCTCTTGGTAACTGAATGTCGCTTTAATTTGCTTGGCTGGCTCTCCGACAGGCTGGGAGGGGAGGGGGCTCCTGCAGGCTCCCACTTATGCTGCCCACGTGCACAGGCCATCTGGCAGTATGGGTGTGCATGTGCAGAAGAGGGGCGGCTGCCAGGACCCCTTGGCTTTCCATTTGGTGTGTCTGTTTTCAAATGATCTTTGGTCCAAATCGTATGAGCTCGCAGGTCCCACAGACAGGTGGATGTAGATGGGGGGCTGGCGCACACACTGGCCCTTGCTAATGCTGTGTTGCAATCCGGCAGAGAAATCTGGACCACTCAGCAAAGCTCCCCAGGGCCCTGAGATTCCGGGAGGCCTGACATTGCTGTCTGCCCTACACTCTTCCTTCTTTTTTTATTTATTTATTTATTTATTTTTTTATTTTTTTATTTTTTTTATTTTATTTATTTTTTTTTTTAATTTTTTGTTTATTGCAGTAACATTGGTTTATAACATTGTAAAAATTTCAGGTGTACATCATTGTACTTCTATTTCTGCATGGACTACATCATGTTCACCACCAAAATACTAATTACAACCCATCACCACACACATGTACCCAATTATCCCTTTCACCCTCCTCCCTCCCCCCTTCCCCTCTGGTAACCACCAATCCAATCTCTGTCCCTATGTGTTTGTTTATTGTTGTTATTATCTACTACTTAATGAAGGAAATCATACGGTATTTGACCTTCTCCCTCTGACTTATTTCACTTTGCATTATACCCTCAATGTCCATCCATGTTGTCACAAATGGCTGGATTTCGTCGTTTCTTATGGCTGAGTAGTATTCCATTGTGTGTATATACACTCTTCCTTCTTAAGGCCCCTGCCCCACGCTGCACTGAGGGCGTTACCTCCCGCTGCGTCTTTCTTCACAAATCTGATTGGAAAGGATCAGGGCACCTTCCTGGACGCAGTTACTTTGCCGCTGCTTCTTTGAATTCTTCATTTTTTTTTGATAACTCTCTGGTTAACCTTTGCTCACATATACCCAGGTGTTGGCTGAGCTCTTCCTGCCCATAAGGCCTGCTTAGATGGGCTGCAGCCCCTGCTGCCTGCTAGTGGGGGCAGAATGCTGAGATCCCTGCAGATTGCTCAGGGCCTTGTTCTTACACTCACTTCTGCCTTTGAGCTTCTGCTTCCGCTGAAGGAGCTGGGTTTAGGGACTCTCTATCCTTGTTCTCACATGTCCATCCTGATAATGTGGAGTCCAGTCATTTTTCTCAATGTCTTCAAACAACCCACCTGCACTAAGCATTTACGAGTACATAGAAGACTTTACTTTTTTATTTTTATTTCCTTTACATCCCAAAACTTATTTATCTTATTACTGAAAGTTTGTACCTTTTGACCCCCTTCCCCCATTTACCCAAACCCCTACTCCTCTCTGACTCTGGCAGCCACCTATCTGTTTTCTGTTTCTATGGGTTTTTTTTTCAGACTCCACATATAAGTGAGATCATACAGTATTTGTCTTTCTCTGTCTGACTCGGCATAATGTTTACTTAGCATAATGCCCTCCAGGTCTGTCCTTGTCGTCTCAAACAGTGGGATTTCCTTCTTTTTTATGGCTGAATGATATTCCATTGTAGATGCATACCACATTTTCTTTATCCATTCATCCATTGATGGACACTTAGGTTGTTTCCATGTCTTGGCTATTGTAAATAATGCTGCAATAAACATGGAGATGCAGATATTTCTTCGAGATACTGGTTTTGTTTCCTTTAGATATATACACAGAAGTGGAATTCCTGGATTATATGGAAGTTCTATTTTTAATTTTTTGATGAACCTCCATACTGTTTTCCATAGTGGCCGCACCAATTTACACTCCCACCAACAAGGCACAAGGGTTCCCTTTTCTCCACATCCTCGCCAACACTTGTTAGCTCTTGTCTTTTTGATGACAGCCATTCTAACTGGTGTGAGGTGGTATCTCATTGTGGGTTTTTTTTTTTTTATAATTTTATTTATTTATTTGTTTTTCCCCCAAAGCCCCAGTAGATAGTCGTATGTCATAGTTGTACATCCTTCTAGTTGCTGTATGTGGGACGCGGCCTCAGCATGGCCGGACAAGCAGTGCCTTGGTGAGCGCCCGGGATCCGAACCCGGGCCGCCAGCAGCAGAGCGCGCACACTTAACCACTAAGCCACGGGGCCGGCCCTCTCATTGTGGTTTTGATTTGCATTTCCCTGATGATTAGTGATGCTGAACACGTTTTCATGTACCTGTTGGCCTTTTCTGTGTCTTCTTTGGGAAAATGTCTATTCAGATCCTCTGTCCATTTTTAAAATGGATTTTTTTTTTCGCTATTGAGTTGTATGAATTTATATATTTTGGATATTAACCCCTTAATAGATATATAATTTGCAAATATTTTCTCCCATTCCATAAGTTGGTTTTTCATTTTGTTGATGGTTTCCTTTGCTGTACAGAAGCTCTTTAGTTTGATGTAGTCCTACTTGTTTATTTTTGCTTTTGTTGATTTTGCTAAGAAGACTTTAATGAGGGTTGGGGAGTCTGAAGGATTTGTGCTACACCAAGGCAAATGGCTTTAACAAGTTCATGCTGTGTTCTGGTTCTGAAAAGTTCCTTGGCCAACTCTAAAAACTCTCAGCCTTCTGCTCCCATCTGTCTATCTTGTCTCTTCGCTTTCTCCCCAACTCCCGGACTCCTCATCAGTTTTCACTGAGAGCTCTTGAGCTTTCTTTGGTCACTTCTTACTCTCAATGATCCTTGCCTGCAGGGTCTCACCTTCCAAGCCCCAGAAGCTGATTGGTTTTTTTTTTTCGCTCATAAACAAGATAGTTCCCTTCTTAAGGGCTGTTAAGATAATAAAAATTTCATCCCGTTACTTAATTATGTACTTTCTAGAGAAAAAAACCTCAATGAATTCTGCTCTTCCGAAGTAAGGAAGAGATATTTGTTGTATACAAAATATAAAGATTGGAAAGTGTCTTTTGCAGCACCTGCTTTTCTAAAACATGAAATAACTGAGCTCATATGTTCTGGAGTTAGGAGGAGAGTTATTTTAACCAATAATGTAGGGGGCAATGGGGAATAGAGAGCTGAATTCTGAGCTGGAAGTGGAGTGCAGGACTTTGCCACTTATCAGCTGTGTGGCCTTGGCTTTGGCCAGTCACTCGCCTTTGGTTTCCCTATCTGCAAAATTGGATTCAGTGGTTTCTAATGTTTTCCAAATCTAAATCTCTCTCTCTATATATACATATATATATGTAAATCTCTCTCTCTCTCTCTCTCTCTCTCTCTCTCTATCTATATATATTTTTTAGAGCTTCCTAAACCTTTAGGAAGGTTTTCTACACTCAGATACCTTGTGTGAGCAAGTTTTTCAGCATCTCTGCATGCCAGCTCTACATGTGCAAGGTGATACAGATTTTCTTCTGTTAGGGGGTTGGTTGCCTCACCTCTGACACAGTCCTTGAGATTAGGTGTCCTGTCCTTAAACTGGACTCTAAAAAAGGCCAAAAGCTGCTTGTGTGGGAAACTTTTTCGTCTTTAAAACAACACAATAGTTAGAGGTTAAAGTGTAGCTCATGCTGGGTGGTTGGGGGGCAAGTATCATAGTGTCTGTGTTCATTTGTTTTTTTTCTCCTTTTTTGGGAGAACTGCTGCACTGCTGATGGATATTGCGTTTGCAAATGGGGAGAGGAATACATTCCCCGTGGAGCTGTTATGAGGGTTAAATGAGATAATGAATTTTATATTCTCAGGCAGTGCCTAGGAAATCACCTCAAAAAAGAGTAACTGTTGTCACAAGCAGGTTAGAGGTGGTACCTGGATTAGTGCTTGTTACAGGTTTCTCACTATAGTGGGCATTCTTTACCGTCTTGGTTCTGAAACACCTGCCTCAGTCCATCTCGTGCTTTGCTCTCCAGGGTTTTCAGTCTTCATGGCTTTTGACCTTGAGGTTGGCTTTTCAGTTTATGACCTCATCTCACCCCTTGAAATTCATACTGCATTTTAAATTCTACTGAGTTCCCTGTGGACCCTCACATGGAACACAGATGGGCGTATGGAGTGGGTAGCATTTGACTTGGTCCTTGTAGGATGTAGGATTTGGGTCCATGGAGAAGGCAGAAGGGGGTTTCAGGAAAAGGGAGCAGCGTGAGCAATACTAGAAGCAAGGACTTGCAAGATGTGTTTGGGGCATAATGAATTGTTTGGGAGGGACTAAGCCATTTGGGGGCCGGAAAGACAGTTTCAAGAAGGCGGGACTGGCTCGCTCTGTGAACGGGTGCGAAGATGTGGAGGTAGGAGAAGCCAGGGAAAGGGACTGGAGTGGCTACACGAGAACCTTCGTGAGCTTCGAAAGGTTTACTTTAGTGGAGTGGCGAGGGCACAAGCCAGGTTGTAAGGGGTCACCACAGACTGAGGGACGGGGAAGTGCAGGCTGTTAGTGTAGACCAGAGGTTCCCAAATGCTGGCCCCCAAGCTCTTCAGCCTGGGTTGTTAGAGGTGAGACAGGAAATACAAAGTTAATATAGTGTGTTTTTCGTAAGCCTAATTTTATTTACTTTTAATAACCATTCTGTAATCTGAGATTATAGCCTTACTTTTTTGGTTTTAAAATGCCTTTTTTTCATGAAATGATGATGGTTTTTGACCCTGGCTGCACATCAGAACCACTTGGGGAGCTTTTAGAAACAGTTGGGTCCTGGTCCACCTCAGACAACTGATCAGCATCCTGGGGCAGGCCTGGTACTGGTGTGGGGTCAGCGCTCCCAGATCATTCTGTTGTGCAGAGTTCACAGGGTTGTGAATTTCTCTGCTAGTGGATGGTAGGGTTTTTGTGGTGGTGGTGGTTGTGGTTTTGTTTTAATTTTTAAAATGCCCTTATTTGCAAAATTAAAAATTGGAAACTCTTGGTTCATTGCTCAACCTTGTTTGTTTTGTTTTGTTTTCATTTTTACTTATATTTAATTTTTTGTTCTACTGATTTTTTTTTTTTTTTTTGCTGAGGAAGATTGGCCCTGAGCTAACATCTGTGCCCATCTTCCCCTATATTGCATGTGGGACACTGCTACAGCATGGCTGACAAGTGGTGTATGTCTGCGCCTAGGATCCAAACCTGTGAACCCCAGGCAGCCAAAGTGGAGCACATGAACT